TGGAATCTGTTTTTTTCTTTTGAAACGCAACGAGAGAAAGTTCCTCCCTCCTGTATTCTCGCACTTTTTCCCGACGAAATCTAAAAATTCCTGCGGTTTCCACCGTCTGTGAAAGCACCCCGACTCTGTGTTGCGGCGCTGTGAGCTGATGCTTTTCACATGTGCCCGAGTCGTGATGAAAACACAGGGTGAGTTAGCGACAAAGTTTACACCGTTTACATTTGACATAAAGTATAGACACACGCACTACAGCGCATTACTGCAACTCTGTTTTGCTCCCATTGAAAACCATGTAAATCTTGTCTGTTTTGTAGTCAAAAGGCTCTCCTCCTGTGGGTGTATAGGAGATATATACACACATATATATATATATATACACACATATATATATATATATACACACACATATATATATATATATATATATATAATATATAGCTCGTAGTGTGAAAAAAATATTTATTTAAGTATCTCACGAAAAAAGTAAAATGAACTGAACTTTGAACTAGTTCAGAATTAAAAATGTGAACTTTGAACGTGAACTGTTCACTTTGAGCATGTATGAACTGAACTTGAACTAGTTCAAAAAAGTTGTGAACTGGCACAACACTGCCTGTAGGCCAGCCCTTTCTAGCCATTGGTAGGACTTCTTGAGATCAGCCACTTCTGTTATGCTCCGGTGGTACATGCCGTGTAGGGGCTTGTTCTCCCATGATGGGCTCTCCTCCAGCACTTCCTCATCTCGCCACTGCCTGAGACATTCACTGAGTACGTCATCCGTTTTGGCCTTCTCCATGATGTAGTTATGGAGTTTGGATGTTTCGTCCTGGACAGTGGCTCTCACACTCACTAGTCCTCGGCCTCCTTCTTTACGGCTTACGTACAGTCTCAGGGTGCTGGATTTGGGATGGAACCCGCCATGCATGGTAAGGAGCTTTCGAGTTTTAACATCCGTGGTCTGAATCTCTTCCTTTGGCCACCTCATCCCCATTCTCCATTGCTCCCAATTCTGTCCCTCCCGTCTGCTAAACTCTAGTTGAGTGGAGTAGTAAGTTTGTTTTATTTTAACTACTTTTGTTAATGCTAGCTACATTAACAAAAATAATTAAAAAGGGGTGGAACCAGTGATAAACCTTTTACTGGTGAAACATTTGGTAATGAGATTAGAGAATCATAGATAGATTTGAATTGACTTGAGCTGTGACATTTTTGTGATTGGACAACTTTAAAGTTACAACATTTGGTACAAGCTCAAAAGGATTAGGCTGAAACTGAATTAGATTGATGATAAATAAGACTCAAAGTTAGCTCAGATTTTTGTTCGTTTGTTTGCTTATGATCACAAAAGCTGGTATTTTGTGCACACAAGTAGACTTTTATGTTTATTTTTGGGTTTGATTTGGAGTTTTTGTTTGTTTTGTGAGTAACTGTCTTTATGTGTAAGATTTAACAGACAAACATTTCCTCTTATGTGAGTAGTATTTGTTTGTTTGTTACTTCAAGTTTTGCATGCAAGTGTTTGTCTTCTATGTTTGGGACTTAACTGACTAAACTAACAGACTATAAGATGAATAGGAAAGGTGGGAAGAGAGAGCGAGAGAGGAGTCAGTTTCCGGAAGGAAAAAGAAAGGGTGATAGTAAAGATAGAAGCAATGATTTTCATTTCATTTTTTTTCATTTCATTTTTTATTTATTTCAATTGTTCTGAATATTCTTTCATTTTTACATGTTTACATAAAATAATATTAGTAGTCAGACAATTGAAAAGGAGCACAAAGAAGACAAACTTATATTATGTGCCCCTTTCTCCAAAAAAAACAAACAACATTTTTCAAGATGGTCTGATGTAACAACACATCAGTCACAAAGAAATAACAAATACAAAACATGCCACAAGCAGGGTTTGCTCATCAAAACAAATAATCCTCTTTCATTTAATTTCCAGTTCATATGATTTAATTATTGTTTTCTTGAATATTTGTTTAAACTGAAAAATATTTGTGGAGTTTTTTAAAGTGTCTTTCATGGAGTTCCACAGCTTGACTCCAGCCACTGAGATAGCCATCCGCTTCTGGGTGGTACTGGCAAAAGGAAGAATAAAGTTAAGTTTGTGTCGGAGACGAGAGTCTGATTTAAACGAAAATAGTGTTTGTACAGTTTGAGGCAACAAATGGTGTCTTGCCTTATACATTATTGTAAGTGTTTGGGTTTTTATAAGGTCAGGTACCTTTAGCAATTTGGATGTTATGAATAATGGGTTAGTGTGCTCTCTCCCATGGACTTTATGAATGGCTCTTATTGCTTTCTTTTGTAACGTTATCAAAGGCTTCAGTGTGGTTACATACGTATTTCCCCAAACTTCCAAACAATAAGAAAGACATGGCAATATTAATGTAAAATATAATATCCTCAGAGCTGTATAAGTTAAAAAATATTTCACTTTGTGAAGGATAGAGAGGTTTTTACATAATTTATTTCGTGTATTTTCAACATGTGATTTCCAATTTAAATTCTCGTCGAGGGTCACACCCAAGAATCGAATTTCTTCTACCCTTTCAATGTTTATTCCATCTAAACACAACTCAATATTTCTATTTTGATAGCACTTGGTAAATAACATAAATTTAGTTTTGTTCACATTTAGAGATAATTTGTTTACCCTAAACCATTTGCTTATTTTTATCATTTCTTTTCCTACATTATTAATCACATCCTTTATATCGTCACCTGACAAAAGAAAGTTGGTGTCATCGGCAAACAGCACCGATTGTAATATGTCTGATGCTTCACACAAATCATTGATGTATAAAATAAAAAGTTTTGGTCCAATAATGGAACCTTGGGGAATTCCACATTTAATCTTTAATTTTTCTGATGTGTTGCCAGCAAACTGTACAAATTGTTGTCTATTCTGTAAATAACTTATAATCCAGTTTAACACCCCCCCTCTAATTCCATAATGCTGTAGTTTCTGAAATAAATTTTTGAGGTCGATAAATACCCCAATAGTACTTTTTTTGTTTTCTATTGCCGTACTAATGTGTTCTGTAAGCTTCATTAAGGCTAAGGCTGTTGATCGATTTGTTCGGAATCCAAACTGACTCTCATGTAACAAATGATGTTTTTCTATAAATGCATCTAATCTGGAAACAAAAAGTTTTTCAATAATTTTGGCAAACTGTGAAATCAATGAGATGGGTCTATAATTTGTAAGACAATGCTTGTCGCCTAATTTATACATTGGAATAACCTTTGATATTTTCAATCTATTTGGAAAAATACCAGATGTAAAAGACAGATTAAAGATCTGACATAGAGGCTTACATATACAGTCTATTGTCATTTTTATGATCGTCATATCAAACCCATCGCAATCTGTGGATGTTTTATTTTTTAGTAGAGCTATGGTCGATTGAATTTCTGTTTCAGTGATTCCATCTAAATACATGGAATTCATAATTTTGCTTTCCCCTTTCCAAACGTCCGGTTGGTCGGGGTTGTCAATTTTTCTTGCAAGATTTGGGCCTATATTTACAAAATATGAGTTAAATTCATCAGCCATTTCATTTTTTTCAATTTCATTATTTTCTTTACTTAGAAAATAATGAAATGTAATGTAGTGAAATGTGAATGTAAGTGGTTTGGCACACTCATTGTACCACTTCTATTCTCCATCACTTGATGTAGTACTTTCCATGTCCCTTTAATACTGTTCTTATTTTCGATTAACATTTTAGAGTAATAATCTTTTTTAGCTTGTCTCATAATACTAGTCAACTTGTTTTTGTATATTTTATATTTACATTCTGCAATTTTGTTTCTAAGCTTTAGAAATTCCCTATATAATTTATTTTTCTTTTTACAAGCATTTTGCAAACCTCTTGTTAGCCATGGCTTTTTGTTACTTCTTCTCTTCTTGGTTATTATTGGACAGTTTTTATTATATAGTAATTGATATCGATTTAAGAAAGTATCAAATGCTAAGTTGACATCTTCAACATAAATACCATTCCATTCCTCTGATAGCAGATCATTTCTAAACTTATCAACTGATTCTTCCGATCGTAATCTTACCGTTTTCAAGCATGTCTCTTTTTCTGAACTGATATGACTATGATGGAAATTAATAAATATCGGTAAATGGTCTGATATATCATTTATAAGAATGACACTTTTAACTGTATCCTCTCTAATATTCGTAAATATATTATCGATGAGTGTGGCAGAGTCTATGGTTATTCGTGTGGGCCTAGTTATAAGTGGACGGAGTCCTCTACTATACATTACATCAAGAAAATCTGATGTTGATTTGTGTTTGGACAAACTTAAAAGGTCAATGTTATAGTCTCCACACATGATATAAATTTTACTATCGTTTAAATGCTCTAGAATTGTATCTACTCTCTCTGTGAAGGTCTCCACATTAACACCAGGGGCTCGATACACACATGACACAACAATATTTTTACTTTTTTCGTTTTCTATTTCCACAGTTATGCACGCACATTATATTGTTAACGGCAGTTGTCATTGTTTTCACCGATCGACACTTCAAATCAAGACTTACATACAGAGCCACTCCCCCTCCCCTCTTATTATTCCTTGTTATATGATGCAACTCATATCCTTCTAAATTAAATTCCGACACATTATCATTGCGTAACCATGTCTCAGACAACGCAATGATTTTAAAACGTCCATTTAAGACTTGCAAAAGATCACAGATTTTATTGAAATTTGCCTTTAAACTTCTACAATTAAAATGAATTAAAGAAAATGTATTGACTTCAATGTTTTTAATAAACTCTTCATCAGAGTAATATTTGCATGTATCATTTAGTTGATTTTCTGGGTAATCTTCTGATTGCAGTTCGTATTCCTGATCGTACACTTTATACTCTTCGTAGTCAAATCTCCGATAGAATTCACCATCCGTGAACCCAGTCATGTCATCAATCTGTTTCACGGGGATTTTGTATCCCCTATCTTACCCACATACCTTAGGTTACGACAGTGTCCACTTGAGTTGTGGGCAAACGAATTAGTGTATTTAGGCTTGAGGTCAGCTCATCTGCGCGTCCTCCTCTGCCTCTGCGGGGGCTCTCCCAGCCTGCCGCCTGCAGGGTAGCCTCCAAATCCGGCTCTTTAGGGGAACTTTCCATTGTTATCCCAAACTCACGCAACCCCTCTGCTGCAGTCGGGGGGTCCTTAAACACCGTGTACTTCCCATCAGAAAGAAATAGCTTCAACTTTGCAGGATACAGGATGCGTGTCTTGATGTTGCGCTCATACAATTGCTTCCGTACTTGCCTATATTTTGCACGCTCCTTATACACCTGCGCTGAGAAGTCCTCGTCGAAGAAGATCCTGCTGTCCTTGATTCGTATGTCCTTTTTGGTCCATGCGGCCTGGAGCACCCTTTGCTTCTCCACGTAACTCTGAAAGCGGACCACAATTGATCCAGGTCGCTTCGGTGTTCCGGGCCGCCTGTCGGCGCCTCCGTCAGTCACCAAAGGGGCGGCTCTGTGCGCTCTTTCAATGCGAACTCCAGTGATTCCCAGCCTTTCGTTCAGGAATTTGTAAATGAATTCGACCATATTATTTCCTTCTGATTTCTCAGGAACTGAGTAAATCCGAAGGTTCTTCCTGCGCGATCGGCTCTCTAGATCTTGGCACTTTTCCTCGAGTAGTTTTTGTTTGCGTAATACTTGGATGAGAACTTTGGTCAATTCAATATCACGGCTTTCAGTTTCCGCGATCCGTTCCTCTGCTGTACCGATTCGTAGATTTAATTGACCGATTTCTTCTTTAATTCCTTTAATGTCTTTCTTTGCGGTTTCAAAGTTTTCCGTGGTTTCCGTCCGGAATATTTTGATTTCGTTCATGATATCGGACAAGGAAATGGAGCCTCCAGGGTCTTCCAGAGTGGTGTCCTCGTGAGGTTGTTGTTTGCCCCTTTCCTTCAGGTTTGTTTTTGGCATTTTTCCTCTTCTTTTTTAAGAGTATTTATCCTCAGTCTTCTTACAGTCTTTATCCTCGTTCTTTTGCGAGATCCAACAACAGGAAGCGTAGTTTTAAAGGTTTTTAAGTGACGTGGCGTCTCAGTGCCAACCGTGTTCAGCCATCTTGATTCACACCATTTATGCTTAAAATGTCACAAGAGAGGACACTGGAAGAGAGATTGTACAGAAAGTGTTGAGTATGTTAGGAGAAAGACTAACGAAGTAGCAATGGATAATTGTAACGTTAACAGCAGGTTAGAATTAACACTTGATTTTTGTGAAGAACACATGGCTTCACTCAGTCTGGGAAAGCTGAGTGATTTAAAAAAACATTTTAGATGTGCAGGGAAAAATGTTGAAACAGCAAAAGAAGTTTCTAGATGCATGTATTAAGATTAAACAATGCAAAGAAGTCATGAACGAGTCAACACTAATGTTTTCTTCTGTTTCTGAGTCCATCACAGCCAGTCAAAGAGAGACACTTGGGGGCAGATGGTCTGGTCCTTCCCAGTCACAGCTCCATTCACAGCCACTGCATCACTCCACTCCAACCAGGAAGACAGGTCGGGGAGCAGAGTGCATCCAGATGGGGAGGAGAGAGCGAAGCAGTGGCAAAAAGAAGCAAGGCTGCTTTAATTGTGGTGCTTTTGACCATTGGGCACGAGAGTGTTTTAAAATTCACAAATCAATTACAAGTTCATATGCTGTGGTTGGGAACGACCAGACGCCTAAGAAGTCCTCTCTGACTGATGCTGACTCAGAACAATCAGATAAGTGGAAAACACTTTAAGCAGTTTAATTTTTCAGATTTGAACAATAATCATGTTTAGTTTCATTTGAAGGGTTTAAATTTAACTGTAAGGGAAGTTACTGTAGCACACATGTGTCAAAGTCATGTGTCATGAATTTTACATGGCCCGTTGCCTGCCATTGACGCACTATTACGTCAATTGCGTTTTCCGCTATTTTCATGTTCCCAGATGTCTATTATATCTAATATGTTTAGGGATAAGCTTGAGAGCATATTTAATCGAGCCAGCAGGTGGCAGCAGCGCTCTCTGAATAGTTTGAAAAGAGCTAGATGCACTTGTTGAGCCTCTTTTTTCTCAGCTTTTTGGTGATTTCAGTAAAACTTCCCTCTACTTAACTGGGGATTACAAGCTAGACACAAAATTCTTTTTGCTGATGAAAGTAGACAGTCTATTCTTTCAGAATCTGGTTTCGGATTTCAGATAGTCATAGTACACATTATTCTGTGGGTCTTGAAAAATCTATAAAAATCATCAGAAACTGCTGGCAATATGGGAGTACCTGTTCTGAAATAGGCTGGCAGGCAATGAGTTAATAAACATTGAACCAGTCCGGCCCTCGGCTCGCAGCAAATTTGTTTTTTTGGCCCTCTGATGTATTTGACTTTGACATGCCTGCTGTAGCATGTTTAATGTTTACATCAAAGAAATGCAAATCTGTTTGATTCTGAATTATTTCAATAGTTAATTGTGATGTTTTCATTTCTGACACAAGAAAATATAAAGTCATAGGACTGTCTTCAGAAACAGTTTTCATTAACTGCTAAGTTGGTTTTCTTTTGGGGTTTACTGAACTAAGTTTGAAATGTATTAACAAATGTGTATTTTGTGTGTTTTGTTTGAGGGGAAACACCTAAAACACCACTTTTGATGCTCAAAAGCTCAGAGTTCATTCATGTGAAGGAGACGCCCACTCCCACCCCCACCAATCATCAATCGGCAGACCAAACCAAGCCAAACCAGGTCAAACCAGCAACGACGGAAGCAATGATGCAAAGGGTCATCCAGAGGTCAGACTCAAATCAACAACTTGACTCTGTGTGTTTTTGGGACATTTTACAGATTTCCATAAAATCTGAAAGACTGGGTTGACCGAAGACATCACCTTTGTGCAAAGATCTGAGGACTGGAGGCTTCCAGTTTTTGCTGTCGGTTCTAAAGTGTGTGAACAGGACAGAGGCTTCTGGACATGATGGGGCTGTGCTGGATGGGGCTGGACGTTGCTGGCTGCAGAAGACATTGGGGTGTGGAGGCGTTACTGGACAATAGGCTTTTTGGTGTGGTGTTGAAATTGATAACCAAAGTTGACACATTTCAAGTTGATACATTTCAGGTGAAAACATTCCAGTTCAATACATTTCAAATGAACGTTTAGTTTAAAAATGGTGATGCTACATTAATTTACATGAGTGAATTGGGTATTTGTGTCTTTTTCATTTCATACACATGAATAATTAGGAATTATGTTTAGTTATTGAGCCATTTTTAATGTCTCAAACAGGGGGGAGATATGGTTTATAGGGGAGTAATTCTATACATATGAAATGATCTCTAAAAAACTTTTTTGAGTTCTTTTCTGTGTGTGTTTCTGTAACCAATGTGATTTTTATAAGACACATGTCAAGAGGGGTCTTTAAGTTGAGTCGACACAACTTGGATTTCAAATGTAATACTGTGTTTGTATTAATTTCATTGTGTTCCATCTTTAAGTTGGTTTACTAAAAATTGAATGTGATTAATTCTTTTAATGAAAAACAGGAGGGAATGATAGAGTTGTTGGATTTTCATTAAAGTGAATTAGAATATATTCAAAGTTTAGACAGCTTTGGGTTAACCTACGTGTGTGATGGGATGTGATGGACGCATCAGCAGCATTCTCCCATCCCCCAGTCATGAGTGAAAGACTAGTCTAAATAAGCAGGAAGCCGAAAACATCTGTTTTCAGTAGATCTCATTTTTCAGTAGATCTCAGTTTATTTAGAGGGAAGCCACGTCTTCTCTGAGGAAGAGGAAGGTGGGACATATTGTTGCATGTGTTTCAAATTATCAGGGTATAAGACCAGAGCTCTTTGTTCATTCTTTGTCACTCTGCTGCTACATCTAGCTGACCCAGACTGGTGCAGTCTGTAAAACTTGTCTGTTTGTGCTGATGTCCAGATAACCTGTAGTTTTGAACCAGCGGCTGACAACATGTATTAAAGAGATTATGTTGTTGAAATGTGACTAGTTTTTTCACAGGAAGCTACCTCAAACTCCCTCGGTGAAGTGGTGAATGAATAAAACTACCTCGGAGTTCTTACGTTCTCATGTGCATCAATAAAAGGTTTAAAACTGAGGACATTGGAAATTAAAGCTCTTCTGGGACTTCTGCCCTTTTACCTCTGTACTTTCTGTGTGAATAATGTACAATCTTTTGCACTGAGGTCCAATGAGCAGCTGTTACTTACTGTGCTTTTTGTTTTTAGTTTGGAAAAAGAGCTTTTGTCCATTCAGCTGCTTCTTCTTGGAACATGTTCCAGCGAGACTAGAAACTGACCGAGCTTTATCCTTGAATGCTTTAACATCAAAACTCAGAGATTACTGGTTATTTGGTTGTTTTTCATTTATAAATGTTATTTTTTGGATTATCCTCTTTATTTAAAGCAATATTTAACCCCTTTTAATTCCTCTTATAATCTTCGTCACACAAACCAGCTTTTCTTTCACACTCCGTGTGAAAAAAGAACTTGGCAAATATGCTTTCCAATATAAAGCCCCAAACGACTGGAATCTCCTTCCGGCCTCTCTTCGCTCTTTAACTTCTTTTTCTCTTTTTAAAGTTGCTGTACAAAGGCATCTGTGTAATGTTTGTTACTGCTACTGAACATTCTTTTAAATATTATATCCTTTGGTTTTCACTGTCCTAGTTTGAGGAGTAGGGTGACCTCTGACCTCTGAGAGCTCTGTGTGTGTGTGTGTGTGTGTGTGTGTGTGTGTGTGAATGTTTCTGTCCTTGTATTGATGTATTTTTTTGTTGTCTGTTATTTTATTGAATTTATTTACTGTAATTTGTTATGTTTTTTATTTGTTATACTTTACTGTAACTGCATTTATTTGACAACCGCTGCTGCTACTTGTGTTGCTATTTTTGAGGACCCTCCTGAAAACGAGATGATGCATCTCAAGAGGCTATTCCTCGTAATAAAGAAATGTAAATGATTTACCTGTAATTATTTTACTTGATTTGTGCCGTCTGTTTACCTGTCATTTGAATTTAATGTTATAAGTCTGTTGTGTTTTATGTGTAACTTTACTGCCTTTTGGCCAAGACTTAGGCCAGGAAGTTTATCATTTCAATCGGATTTTTCCTGGTTAAATGAAGGTTAAATAAAAAACAATATATGATCTCAACGGCAGGTGGGAGTACAATATCCCACAAGAAGAATGTTTTATAAATTGTCATAATGAATGTGTTAATAAAATTTGCATATAATTTTTGATATTCTGTTTGCTTTGTTATTACTGTAATGCACAACTCAAGAGATTCGGGTCAGTTCTGAACTCTCCACTAGAAATGTTAATCTTCACTGGGGGGACTCGGGGTGTTATGTTATTCTAATTGTTACTGTTCTATGGCTCAGGTGCTCTTGTTTCATTGTAATCTTAATGTTGACAGTGCTTAATGTGTTTTGTGCTCTTTCATCCATGCATTTTCTTTATCTCATTCTTACAAAATGCGTAGGGCGCAGGGTATTGTACAGGTAGGAAATAGTTTTACAGTTAGTTTCATGGAATGTTAAAGGGCTTGGAAGTGTTGTGAAAAGTGTTTAAACATCTCAAGTCTTTGTCAGCGGATATATTTCCTCCAGGAGACTCATATTAAAGTGGCAGTACAACATAGACTAAAATGCAGTTGGGTATCTCAAATATATCAGTCTCCGTTCACTTCAAGTGCTCGTGGTGAGGCAATACTGTTTAAAAAAGATGTTCCATTCCAGCTGACCTCTTATCAATGATCTGAATTTTGGCAGATTCTTAATGATTTCTGGGTCAATAAATTCTGTTCAGCTTACTCTTCTGAATGTTTACGGCCCAAACACAGATGAACCCAACTTTTTTACAATTTTTTTTAACTAGCTACAAGATGACAATGACTCAAATATACTAATTGCCGGAGATCTAAACTGTTAT